AGGAGAGAGATAATCTCACACAGGCTCCATGCTCAGGGCGGAGCCATGATGCAGGGCTCAATCTCAGGAAAAAGGTTAAATCTCAGTTCATGACCTGAACAGAAATCAAGAGTCAGAAGCGTAGCTGACTGAGCCACTCAGGTGTCCCTGGGGCTCTATTTTCTTTTTTTTTTTAAAGATAAAATATAGAAGGAAATTTTTATGGAAATGATTTAAAGGCAGTTTTTAAATATAGCGACCATGGGTCAATTTCTAGTATTTAATGATAACTGCTCAAAAGTTAGGATTAGTTTGCTAGGAACTATTTGAATTCAATACATTTTTCTAATATAGATAGGACAAGATGATTAATACTACAAAATCATTCTGCAAATGACTCAACAAATATACAGGACTCATTTAAAATTAATATAATCATTATTTAAAATCTCCATGTAAACACTTACTTTTTTATAGACCAAGTAGTCTTACCTGGATTGGTAAATTATTGAAATGTCTTTTCTTACAAAGATTTCAGTTCAACCATTTTGAATTGAAAATAGCAAGTTACTGTGTAAATTAGTGATGTATAAATCTATACTTGAAATATGATGAACAATTATAGTAACATTTGACTTCTTCATGCTTCAAAATATTATAGAAGAGTAAAATGAGATCAGGATTCAAGTATTTAGTATTGTCAATAAAATGGTAAATACTGTTTTTGTCATCTTCATTATTGTCATAGTAGCAGGGTAAGTAGTAATACTGGAACTTGAACTTATACTAGTGGAGTGGCAATAATATTTGGAATTGGAAAAAGTCTGGGTCCAAGTTCTTGGTTTATCACTTACTAAAATTTCACTGTAAAATATCATTGATATGCAGTTTCTTTATTTATAAAAATGGGAGTAATAAAATTATTTGATCTCTAGAATGGTTATGAAAATCCAATGTAAAATAACTTCATAAATTAGAAATTCTTTGCATATGTTGCTTTCATTATTGATGTTTTAAATTATATGTAAACAGAGGCTTTGTTTTTTCTCTTCATATTCTTGTCTTTAGCTTAATGACATGCTTTGGGAATGCTTTAAATCTAATTATATTCATTAACCATTTTTATTGTTGTCAGTGGCCTTTAAAATCAAGTGATCTATTCTAGACATTGTTCAGATTAGAAGAATCATCCAGGAGGGATGTTAGAACCTTGCCCAAAGTGGCACTCCTTTTTTTGTGACTAAGTGGGACCTCATCTTGACATTTTATAGCATTCTCCAATTACTTCATTAGTATTATGTAATTCATTTCTTTAACACCAAATCAATCACCAAAGCAAGTTTCACAGGATGTTAGGAAATGTTCTATGTAAAGCGTTCTAGAATCTAATAAGCATACAAAATCCTAGATTAAATCAAATTAGCAATGTTTTTATTTTTTTTAATGGTTTTTATAATGTTTATTTACATTTGAGAGAGAGGGAGTGTGCAAGTGGCGGAGGGGCAGGAGAGACAGAGACACGATTTGAAGCAGGTTCCAGGCTCTGAGCTGTCAGCACAGAGTCCAATGCAAGGTTTGAACTAACAAACCACAAGATCATGACCCGAGCTGAAGTTGGATGCCTAACTGACTGAGTCACCCCAGGCACTCCAGCAAACTTTTTAAAAGTTGAATCACATACATTCTCAAATATGTTAGACTGTGTTGTGAAGCTATAGACAAAATTCTAGAATATCCACTATGGCCAAAAGATTTTTGACCACCGGAAATTTTTAACAGATTATGGTATTGGCTAAGTGAACTAAGAATCACATATTGGTTAAAATGTTACTTTATCATACTGGAAGTTATATGACTACCAGTGGGACGTATTTGTTTTACAAGGATAAAAAGAATTAAAACAGGTATGCCCCATTGGTAGTCATATAACTTCCAGTATGATAAAGTAACATTTTATATACATACATAGATATGTACATATATATCGATGATGATCATGATGATGAAATGTTCATAGCCTTAAAAGTCATTTAAAGCACATTCCACAATCCAGGGATGATGTTTATATACTCATTTCTAATTACTGATAAAATCCATTTTCAAAACATAAGGAAGCATTTTTGTTTTATGGGACTGTTTTTAATCATAATTTCCACGAAGTGTTGAGCAAAAAGGAAGAACACTAAACTCTTAGAAGCAGAAAATAGATTAAGAGTTCTTCAACTTTCCTCTGTCTCTGCTATCACCCATTCACACACACACACACACACACACACACACACACACACACACACACTATGTGTATGGCTTAGGTCCATTTACATTACTTCTCTGAGCTTTGGATTCTCCCATTTAATGAAGTTCAAGATAAATGAACTCTATTTTGTATGTATTAATTATCTTTAAGGTATCATATAATTGAAAGATATAAATACTGTTTTTATTGACAATAGAATCTATTTTTCTTTAGACACAAATGCTCAACTTTCTATGCATTAACATTCACCTGTATATTTTTTCCCATGATAGAGATACGTGCTTATGCATGTTAAAAACATACTGTCAGACCACTGAGATAAAAGGACAGAATTCTTTCCCTACTTCTACTGTTACCTCATTTTCATTTTCAGGTAGACACCTCAAGCACTCTCAGTCATAAATATTCAATTAGTATATTTTAAATGAATGAATACAACTTGACTCAATGCTCCATAAACAGTTCAAATGAAGGACAAACTCCACATTGATACTATCCTGTGCAATGTTTTCATCAAGCAAAAAATTGTGTGATAATTTCCACATAGGATTTTGGAAAGAAAAAAGTATAACCTGATTTAAACAAGTGCTTCCTATGACAGAAAATACATTAAAAGATAAACTATACTTTACTATTTGGTAATTTAGTTCATCATATTTGTAACATGTGCATTATGCATATGCACAAACAACTGTGAAAAGGCAATTACCTTTAAGAAACATAATCTAAAAGAAGAAAAGCCATGGACATATGTATTTACAACAACAACAAAAATACAATGTGAACATTTTCATATATAAACAAACTTTTAGTAGAAATTAATGACAGGTAATATACCTTTATATAAAAAGTTAACCGTAAGCATTTGGGAACAATATTTTTTTTTTCTCAGTGAGATCTTATTAAATAGAGGAAGGAGAAATAATTATTGGAAATTATTTTGAAAGAAAAGCATGAACAGTAAGTGGAAGTATAAATCATTTTTGTAGGATGTAGGTATTTACATGAAGCTGACAAGTTGGAAAAAAAAAAAGATTTAGGTCCTAGAGCACCAGGTCTATAACACAGGTTACACTGACTTATAGAAATCCCAAACACAAGTGGGAATAGATCAGATTTGTGCTTAGGAAGGACTGTGTGGCTGTCAATGGGCAAAGAGACTTGTTTTGGAAAACCTGAAGGCAAGATCAGTTAAAAGACTATAAGGTGCATGCACCAGGGAAATGAAAAGGGCCAATTTTTCAGTCCCTCAGTCAGGCAATCACTGAGTCAAGATATAGAGAAGCCAAGCTCCCTGTTGAGTACAGGTGCCACAGTGGTAGACAAGAGGTAAAGAAGACATATTTTAAACTAATATGCATACAAAGAAGCACTGACTTTATATTGCAACGGTAAGGAATGTTTCAGATGACTTAGGGGATATTGACAAAAATAAGGATGTAAGAAGAATGAGGCATTTTTTAGGCAGTTTAGCTTATTTGTGTTGAATCTGAAGCACCACCAAGGAAACTGAGGTGAAAGTGTCTTCCAGGTGTGGGGGAAGAGTTCATATCTAGGCTACAGCTGCGTTTGTCAGCTGCATAAAGACAACAGTTGAATCTATTGAATAGATGTGCCAACTGGAACAGAGATGACTAGAAGGCAAAAAAACATGGTGAAAAGACCATGGGTATTTAAACCAGGATTAAATAAGTACTTTACTTATGAACTTCTTTTTCCTGTCCAAGTCCATTGCTATGTTCATCGGTATAAAAACCTGATTTTTCCATGTATGAAGTTGCAGATTCAATACAAGTAGGACTTTCAAGTTAAGAAAGAGAAATAATATTATGGATGAAAGAAAATTTTAAAAGTTATTATATCTCCTGATTATACAATAGACAAAGATTAATGTCCTGTAACATCCAGAACTATGAAGCCTTTGCTTAACTTTTATTTTTTTCATTATACTGTCTTTTTTATGAGGAGAGATAAAACAACTAACTCAAAAGGGAATTTTCCTTTAGAACAACATTTAAAATATTTATTTATTATATGATTTTTTCCTACAAAGCACAATTAATTCATTATTGACATCTCATAGCTCACTGTAAAGCAGAGCCACAGAATTTTTTTAAGATATGCAGAATATTAGTACACAGCACTGTTTCCTCAAAACTGCAGTGCAACAAAATGACAACGGTTGGATGCTGAATAAGTTATCCACCCAGAGATATCAAAAAATAAATTTTTCACATTGAATTTTATCAACACTGTCAGCTCCTATAGAATCAAAATCAGGTCATAAAATAACATAAGTAAAAAGAATGTTCTCTTACTCTTCATGAGAAGGTAAAGAGCACATATTATCCTTCATATAATTATATCAAAAGAAACAGAAATAAAAGAGATGAATGAAAGATGGCAGGACTTTTTTTCTACAGTTTACAGATAAAAATCCCTGATTTCATCAATTATCCCAAACGAAACTAAGAGTTGATAGGCTTGAGCATTCAGAAACAAAATCTACTTCACTATTAACATTTTTCTGTGTCCCGAATAAATTTGCTTCCTGACATTTCCCTCAAGTGGGATAACCCTCTGTTCTTTTTGTAGAAAACTATTTATGTATTTTGAGAAAAAACAACTGAAGAAACTAAAATTGGCATCAATTTTACCACCGCAAAATAGGTGACATCAAGATTTATTTGTTACATATCTGACATTTAAAAAATACAGATGTAATGTAAGATACTAAAAAATAATAATCTAAAGTTTAGCTTACCAGTGGGGACAGAACTGGAGTGTTGACGTTCGAACTGACTAGAATCTTCAGAAAGTTCATTCAAACTTGTTAAAGTAAATTCTGGGTTGGAAGCATGCTCAAGTCTGAAGCCTTCAGGAGAAAGATAATCCAGTTCAAACTTCACAGTTGACATTGCAAAATTCGTAAAGAGCTATGTAAGTCAAAGTTCACACTAACTGAAGTTTAAAAATCATAGGAGACAGAAAAAAAAATCAGTATATTATAATCAGTAGTAACTCCAGACTTTCTGGTGATTATTCTCACTTGGAAGTCCAAAAGAGATAAAACATGCAGAGCTGCCTCTAAGTTTTCCGTATTCATGCCTTTGCTAGGCAATTGACTTCAATAGGATGGATGGAGTTTAGAGTTGCTCTTCTGGAAGATATTGTGCTGCCTTAAAATGATAGCAGCACTAATCTCATCTCAGAGAGGCTGCAGGGAACACTGAGATGGGCTAAGTGAAGACATAGGCAAGGCTGCAGAGAGATGCTTTCAGTAATGTATTGGAAGGTCTCATTCACATTTCTGTATACAAAAGATCAGCTGGGTGGGGTTAAGGAGTATAAGAGAAGAAAACTTTTTTTCCACTGGGCAGCTCATCAGAGGAATGTTTTAACTTGGAAGGAAATTAATCCTAAATGATATTTCCAGGGTCAGGGGTGTGAGACTATAATTTTGATGGTTACTGAAAGATGACTATGATTGTGGAGATTAAATGGTAAATTAAACGTTTATAAAAAGCTTCCACACAGCAAGGAAACAATCAATAAAATGAAAAGACAACCTACAAAATGGAAGAAAACGTTTGCAAATAATTTATCTGATATCCAAATACCCAAAAAATTATAAGGGGCTCATACAACTCAGTAATAATAATAATAAATAATAATAATAATTCAATTATTTAAATAGGCAAACCTTTTCATCTTCCAAAGAAGACATACAAATGGCCAACAGGTACATGAAAAGGATTGATCATCATGGAAATGCAAATCAAAACTAAAATAAAATCATCTCATACCTGTTAGAATGGCTATCATCAAAAAGACAAGAAATTACAAGAGTTGGCAGAGTTGTGGATAAAAGGGACATTTACACACTGTTGGTGGGAATGTAAATTAACACAGCCATATAAACACTATGGAGGTTCTTCAAAGAATTAAAAATGAAACTACCATATGATCCAGCATTCTCACTTCTGGGTATACATCCAAATGAAATGAAATCACTGTCATCTCAAAGAGATATCTGCACCCTTTGTTCACTGGAGCATTATTCACAATACTCAAGGCATGGAAGCTATGTAAGTGCTTATTAACATGATAAATAATGATATTGACGGTGTGAATGATAAAGAAAATGTGACTATACAGTGGGATATTTTCACCCATAAAAAAAGGAAACCCCACTACTTGTGACAACATGGAAGAAAGTTGACGGTGCTATGCTAAATGAGTCAAGAAAAGACAAATAATGGGGCGCCTGGGTGGCTTAGTCGGTTAAGCGTCCGACTTTCGCTTAGGTCATGATCTCGCGGTTTGTGGGTTCTAGCCCCGCGTCGGGCTCTGTGCTGACTGCCAGCTCAGAGCCTGGAGCCTATTTCGGAGTCTGTATCTCCCTCTCTCTGACCCTCCCCTGCTTATGCTATCTCTCTCTCTCTCTCCTAGAAATAAATAAAAATGTTTAAAAAAAAGATAAATACTGCATGATCTCACGTATATGTGGAATCTAGAAAAGCTGAACTTGTGGAAAGAGAGTACACTGGTGGTTGCCAGGGGCTGGTATGGGAGAAATGGGAGATGTTGGTCAAAGGATACAAACTTCCAGTTATAAGGTAGGTAAAATATACGAATCTAATATATGCAATGGTGACAATAATTAACAATACTGTATTACATACTTGAAACTTGCTAAGCAAGTAGATTTTAAACGTTCTCACCATAAAAAAAAAAAAAGGAAAGAAAGTGGGGTGAAGTAGGTGAAGTATGTGTTGACAGGCCTTACTGTGGTAATCATTATGCAATATATGCATATATCAAATGATCACAATATACACCTAAAACTTGTACAGTGTTATAAGAAATTAGTCTCAATAAAGTATAGGAAAATATATGTTTAAAAAATATGGTCAAATAAAATACACAGCTTGAGAAACATAAAAGATCAATATCATACTATGAGCAGGTGATGAGTGGAAGAGCAAATTCTAGAAAGGTAGGGATTAAGGAGGCTGACATTGTTATACTATTTAAGAAGTAAAAATCTGATCCCTCTCAGCTGGGCAGAAAGTTGTATTGGTCACCTTAGAAAATTTAATTTGAGATCTCACTTTTACTCATCTTCTGTCCTTAAGTCCATGAACCCATGATGACCACCACCATGATAACAGACAGCTTGTCAAGGAGTTCTTTGACAAAAGCCATCCTTCAGTTTAGGGAGTCAGACTACATGAAGTTCAGATTAAGTCTTTGATGGTGTATGTTAATCCCTTATTTATTCATTAATTTATTTCCTCATTCAAGTGAGTTTTTATTGACCCTGTATTAGGTATTAACTTAGACCCAAGAATGTTAATATAGGTTTGATGGAAAGGATTTGGGCTGAATATGGTCTCAGTGGGAAAGAGAGCTGTGACTGACTGGGATTTTAATTATAACCACAGTATTAGTTATGGCAATAGATGTGCTACCCCTGAAGAATGGCCTATTTGAGGCAATTTTCCCTTCTTTGTCCAGTATTCTTTGAAAAAGTAAAATATATACAAGAGTTTTGTAAATTCATTGTTGTTACAATATAAAAGTATTCTGGACAACAAGTGGCATGTCTTACTCATCATTATAACTGAACAAACAAGGAAAGAGATTTGTCTCTGAGCTCCACATACCTTTAAAAACTATTGCTCATGGCCTGGGAATGACTGTCATTGTAACGGCATGAACCACAAACAAAATATGGTATTCAAGCCTATTCTGGAACAGGCATGAAACATCTGCCTAAAATGGCAAACATAGACAACTTTCATTGGTAATTATAAGAGGGTAAAAGCAGAACCAAAAGTATAAATAACAATTCAGCAAAATACTATCATTGCTCAAATGATATTTTTCATATTTATGAAAGTATCAGTATACATTTTTAATACCTGAAAAAGTGCTTTCATAGTAATAAAGATTCTTACTTGTCTCCCTTCCACCTTTGGAGTCTGTGTTAAAGCTTTTAGAAAAGATACACATTGGTTAGTAGTGAGAAGATGAGTTGAGGAAAAGATGGCTGATAGGAAAAAGAAAAGCAAACACAAGGAAATGAATAAAGAGGAAAAAAAAAGTGTGTATACAATTTAAAGAAAAAAAAGTAGGTTCTAAAATCATGAAAGATGTACTTTATAATTCTCAGTTGAAATATCTGTTCAGTATTTGGTAGGAGGGTACTTCCTGAGAGACAGAGTCTAAATGGCTTGAATTAAGAGTTGCTCAAGTTCGTTTAACAACTAGATAATTTCTATCCTCTATACTTTTTATAAGTTTGACCAAATCCCAAAGTGTTCCCTCTTTCAAGCAATGATTTGAATGGTGTGGTTACATGGAAATGTGAGTAAGCATCAGAGCTGAAGTTAAATCACCTGATTAATGGTTTCCAGTAGGACCCTGAGGGGATGCTATCTGAGGTCACAGTATAATCTCATTCTCTCTATCAGTGGTCCTCAGTTTTTGGGTATGAGGACATGCTGAACTAAAAGAGAATCAATCTCTCTCCCTCTCTCTCTCTCTCTCTCGATCCAGCCATCCATCCATCCATCTATATATACATATACATATATTAATAGTTACTCATCCCTTTGTATTCATACTATTGTATTTTGAGTATCGATGTGTGATATGTTGATATACGATATATACAAGCATATAAAACTACTTGAAATTTACTAGCATTAAAATGTTAATTACATCTATATACCTTTGAAAATTCAGTCATGTATGTGTGAAAAATGTTACTGATTTGCTCTAAGACAACTGTAAGTACACAGGTGGACTTATAAACCTCATATAGTAACTTGATATGGCATATATATCCAAACACTGGAAATTACTATTCTCTAGCATATAAAGAAATAAGGTTTTACTGCTTTGTGTAACATAAATAATCAAACTTTGTCAACAAACTCACTTCATTGTCCTTTTCCACTAGTAATCTAGGTAAACACATCTCCTGAGGCCTCCAGAAATGTTGGTAAAAAAGAAACTTTAGTTAATGTGGATACTCAAGAATTGGACAGCTCAGCAGTTTTCTATTCCTGAGCCTTTGTTCAAAAACTTTTAACTTCCAGCCTGTGTAGACTTCAAGTGTTTCTATTATTTTTAAGTCTGTAAGCACTTTATTCCCTCCCCCCCCATGTATTTCACTGAGACATAATTGGCATATAACATTGTGTACAATGGAGGTATTATCTTAACTTTATTATAAACTTCAAGTTTTTGTGAAGTGTTTCCCATGATATCATAGCTAGTACTTTTATGTATAACAGTTTTCCATAAATCATAGAAAATATCCATATAAACCTTTTACTAATATCATCTTCCAAAAACTCAGAACATGTCCTTCTTTCCCCCCCCCCCTTCCTTTTAGAGTACAAACAGGAGATGGCAGGAAATGCCACACAGAAAACTCATTCTTTTTGACTGGTCCAGCTGCAAATATTTTTCTCTCAATCTGGATCAGTTTGTCGCAGTTACTACAGTAATGACTCACTTGCTAATGGTTACAGTAAATTTTAAATCTTTGGTCCTTCATTCACTTCAAAACATGAACTGTATTTGCAAACCTTTCTTTTTCTCAGATATACTTAATTTTGATATAATGTATTTTGAGTTCTCTTAGTAGGACAAAATATTTTATTTTAAAAATGGTTAAACTTACTGTAAATAATTATAATTTTAACTTTATCATAAAAACACACTTTAAAAAAGTGCAATAAGCTTGTTTTTTATACAGTTTTCAATATATCTTCTTTTTTTAATGTTTTATTTATTTCTGAGAGAGAGAGAGAGAGACAGCGTGACAAGGGGAGGGTCAGAGAGAGAGGGGGAAATACAAAATCTGAAGTAGACTCCAGGCTCTGAGCTAGCTGTCAGCACA